AACATCATAAAAACTATAGGGGAGTGAAACTATTAAGAAGGACTAAATGTAAGTGGTTTGTCCATAGACGTGATTTCCAATAGGACATAATGTTGTTGTTTGGTTCATATAGCCGACCCCTACAAACTCTTCCCTGTTTCGCAGACAAATTTATTGGTTTGATGTTTTGGGGATTGAACTAATTTACCTTGTCTGTGTCATGAAATGAGTTTGATTATGATGGCTTGCATATATGACGATGACGTTGGTTCAAATTCGTATTTCAATAAGGGGAAACTAGTTTGTGGTGTTTTGTGCAGTCTGAATAGATTTGTAACTATTATTATAGTCCGAAGCTTATTAACAACTGTGGCATCTCATGTAGTTGAAAATTATGTTCTAAAGTTGACTGTTATTGGAGCTACAGTTTAATCACAGAAGGACAGATGAATGTAAATGTGCCTGAGGAGTCAGCTAAAATGCCTTCATCTGAGCATCAGGTTTTATGCAGATCTTGTCTTCCTTCATATAAGTGATTTTGTGCAACATTATTTCCTTACTTCAATGTTATTTTCCTACCAGTATAATTTCATATGTTGTGGCTAATTGTGTTCATAAATCTTTTAGGAGGAAGCAGTAAAGAAAAAATATGGAGGAATTATGCCCAAAAAGCCACCACTCATATCTAAGGTACATGCATCAGTGTTTGTTTACATTTCTTTGTAACTTTAGTTTATTAAATCAATATGATTCCTTCCCATGAATATTTAGTGATTTTTGCTCTCTTTTTTTCATTTTATGGCAGGACCATGAACGTGCATACTTTGATTCTGCTGATTGGGCACTTGGAAAGGTACTTCTGGAAAATACACCTCTGTAGTAATTACACTGAAGTAGAATATTTACAAATTGATTTCTTAACTCTTTTGTACCATCCACATGAAACAGCAAGGTGTTCAGAAACCTAAGGGACCTCTCGAGGCCCTTCGGCCTAAATTACAGGTATTTAACTGTTACAGAAATACTCTCATGTCTGAACTTCATACATAGTTAGCTTCACAATCAGAACAATTATTCTTTTGTTGTCTAATGCTACATGATGTTCTTTGACTTTTTTGAATTGTATTCTGTTCAAATGTGTGATTTGTGACCTATTGCTAATTTTAAAGTGTTCGTGGTGTTTAACAAGCTAGGAATCTAGCGGCTCATACACTACTTTTAAGCTACTGTAGAATTTGATTTAAAAATAAGAGCATGAGATGTGACACGACAAGAAAGAGTGCGTGAAAGAGTGTGTTGGTAGCATTTCACTTTGTAACTTATTGCGGGCGCTATTGGTACAAACAAATGTTGATAATCATTCTCTTTGGATGTTTCAGCCAACACAGCAGCAGACACGTTACCGGAAATCTCCTCACGCTCCTTCGGACGAAGGTTATGTTTTTTCGCAAATGTGTTACCGTCTTCCTTCTCTCAAGTTCTTCAGAGTAAACTAATTGTCACGTGTTTTCTGTTTTATAGAGGGGGGAAGTGTTCTTGCCGAGGATGCATCTTCCATTGAGTAATCAGCACTCAATCTTTTCTTCATGTGCTGCTATTGTTCTTCCATTTTCTTTTGTTATAAGAACGAAATCAATAAAAAAAAATATGATTATGTATTCACATTAACAGAAGACTTTTGTATTTGACCTGCAGCTATATTATGTGAAGTCGAGCTATAATTTTTTTTTGTTTTTTCCCATGCTCTCATTATATGACTTTTTTTTAAAAGGAAAAAAGAATGAAAATTGAAAAACGTTGTCTTACAAAGGGTTCAATTTGGTTACTCATAACTTCAACATCTAAATTTGGTTACCCATAACTTTAGCATCTAAATTTGGTTACTCATTTGCATCATGCTATGATGTGAAAGGGTTAAGCTACAGGATAAGTGGACTAATGTTTCCCTAGTGATTTAAAATTTGCCAAGGTCTATCTTTTTATTAATAACTTAGGTTATCCGTCTATTTTCAAATTAAGGCAACAAGTTTACTGATGCAATACTCCACTAGACATACACTATGAAAGATATTAGTTCCTTACCTATAGAATAAAAAGATATAGTACCAAATACAAATTATGGCAACAATCTTCAAAATTCTACTCATACATTTGCATTAAAAAAAATCAATAATTCTTTTGGCGGTATTTTTCAATTCCAATATATCCTGCTTACCTAATTACCAAATAATTGAATTAATTTTTAGTAAATAAATAAATTGAGTACATTTAATCCTAATAAAATGACAGGACTTTCCCAATCTAACGTCACTTAATGCTGCCGAAAACATAATTGGTTTAACATTGTTCAGTAATGATGAAATGCTACTTATAAAAGAGTTTACATATTTTTATTTGCTATTTATAAATGCATGTAAGAAGTTTTTCTCTACAATGGGTTGGGCCCACTTCTTAACCGTAAAGTTTGTTATTCATCGGAAGCTTTGGCGGGAAATGTAAAACTGATCTATTAATAGTTGAAGAACAACAGTATCAGTACTTCAGTAGCCGTTCACACTTTCCGAATTCCTCTTCCGTTCTTATCATTTCTCACCCTCTCTCTAACTTTCTCTCTCTATTGATCTTCGATTCTTTATCTGATTCAGCTTCCATTCAAGAATGGCAGAAGAAATCGTAAACGCATTTTCCTTACATAACCTGTAAGTAGTTGATCTCCTCACACTTCCTCTAATTTCTCATTTTCGAATATTTTTTCTTATTCGATTTCATTCTTTGATCTTGCAAGTTCTATTCAACCAGGTTCACACGCCTGGTAGATTGCACGCTCTTTCGTCGCGCTACTATCCCAACCGATCAATACGACAGTGAAGAATGCAACTACGAGGTTATGGAGACTCTCGGACAAGGCGGTTTCGGGCGTGTTTATAAGTGCAAACATATCAGAACTGGTGAAATCGTCGCCATTAAGCAAATCGATTTTCGTCACGATAAGAATGTTCCATCTTTCCTCATCAGAGAAGTCTCTCTCCTTCGAGAACTCAAACATGACAACATTGTCCGGTACAGTGCATAAATCTTGAATTATTTTGCTTAGATTCTTTATTTATACTGCAATATATGTATTCACTTCGATTCTTCAATTCCTTATGTATCAGGTGCATAAATCTTGGACTCTTTTATCTTTATATGCTATCACTCACTTCAATTTTTCAATTCCTTATGTTTCAGTTTGTTGAATGTGTTGAGCAAGGAAACTTATGTTAGCCTCGTTTTTGAGCTTCTTGATGAAGATCTTGGTCGCTATATCAGGAATAACCATGGCGTTAAAGATCCTCTGATTAGAAAGGTATGCATGAAGATTTTCAAATTTATAAATAATAATAATAATGATAATAGGATTTTTATATTGACACGTTTTTTTGGTTCATGTTGCTAAAGAGCTTTATGCAGCAAATACTCACTGGTGTGGCATACTGTCATGCGCAGAAGATTCTGCACAGAGATCTGAAACCCTCAAATTTGCTGATCGATAAATCAAGAATGATGATCAAGATTGCTGATTTTGGTTTGTCCAGAGAATTTGGAGGAGACATGCTACTAACTAGACGTGTATCATGCTGAATGCTGAACCTTTTCTTTATGTCGTTTTTACGTTTTTTTAGTCTCAGATATATAGTTATGCACAATATCATTCACCTGAAATTGGAAAATCTGTATTAGATATTATAGGCTGATGTGAGAATGTGGATAAATATTAAGATATCTCATATACTGAGTTAAGGTACACGCCAGGAATGAAAAATGAGTGCGAGTATTCCACGAGTGTTGATTTATATTATACACAAATAATGAATTTGTTAGTTTTAATTCAAACATCATTTTGGACACGCCAACTTGAATAGATAATAACTTAGTGCTCTCTTTTTGGAACATTAAGATCTCTGCCTTTTGGATTTATGAGATAAATAAGTATGCAGTAGTAGGATTGGTGTTTATATGAATTTTTCAATTTTTATCCTTTTACTCTAGATTTTGGTGTAACTTTGTATTGTAGCAAGATCACCTGTAGTAATTGTTACAAGTCATTGCAATTTCTGTCGTTATTATTCTTTTCTTAACTATAGTCCTTGCATCACAATATCAACACTACCATTGGTATTGGGACCTGACAAGTTCACTCTTAACTCTTGACAGCCTGCAACTCGGTATTATAGGGCACCTGAAATCTTGCTTGGCTCCCGTCAATATTCAACTGGAGTTGATTTGTGGTCTGTGGGCTGTATATTTGGTGAGATGGTAACTGCACAGCCTATATTCGGAACTGATAATTCTTTTGATGAATTAGAGGCCATTTTCAGGTATCTTTAGATATATAAACAATTTACTTGTCTTCTTGCTTGCAATCGAACCAATAAGGATTTTCTATATGAAAGAATGTTAGGGACCCCCACTGAGGAAACGTGGCCGCAAGTCACAAAATTTACTCGCCTTCATTCCTATGCCAAATTTAGTCCAATGGACCTCTCAACTATTTTTGCTGATCTTGAACCACAGGGCCTTCATCTTCTTAAAGTGAGTTTCATTTGCTCCATAATTTGGCTTTGTTACATTGGAGATATCGATGACCTAGTGGTGTGAGGAGGGGAATAATAGGTTAAAATGCATGTTAAATTCGATCTTAGGATCTGCCATGTGAATGCATCCTGTTATATACTATTCAATCTCATCCTATTATAAATCCATGCTAAACATTGTCTAGCAATACTTGAGCTCCTGTTAGAACATTTCCTTCCTTTAATTTTGACTTTGAGGATGACATTATTTTTAGGAATTAACTACTGCTTGTCCATCCCAACGAATAAGTTTAAAAGACAAGACCGTTTCATTCTATATCCCTGCTCTCCCTTGCTTTTGGCTTAGAATGCATGTATTTTTATGCATTTTGTATTTGTTGTGCCTCCTGATTATATTCAAGCGGTTTGATAATCCAAAAAAGTAGATTCACTAAAATTATGCTCAAGTGTTGGTATATAATTAATAGATTCATTAAAATAACTGTAGAGGATGTAATTTTCAATTTAATAATAACAAAAAAGTAGCAAGGAAAGAAAACCATTATTGGAAGCAGATTGTTTCCTTTTTAATGCTCAGTTTCTTTTGCTTGGCAGATGTTGCTTTGCCCGGATCCAAAAAGAAGGGTCTCTGTCGAAGGTGCACTGAAGCATGCTTACTTTAATGACCCCCCTGAGCATCACAGAAGGTATCGCCTTATACTGCTCCCTTATGTTATCTTAAATATCTGCCTGTGTATAATCTTCGAACAAAAAGGTTCATTTTCAAGGCAAATTGTAGGGACACATTAAAAATAATGTAAAAAAGTGGCATTACTTAATGAATATCTCCTATTTTGTAGGTTGGAAAATCGAAGGTGAAGTCCTGGGCAGGGGCAGCAGAACAAGTTTTGTAGTCCTTCTGTTTCAAGACTATTATATCTACTTTTGGCCCATACTTTTGTAGAGCATAACGGTTTCTGTTAAAATGGATGGAAAATAAGTGATCCAGAAGAGTAAGAAACAATGGGATGCTTTGGAACACATTTGAGAGTGATACCCAGAATTTAGTACGTTGAGGAATCAACCCGATTTCTCTTGCCATCAACTTGTGTCTATCCTAGCTACATATTACGTTGCAATTTTATTCTTAGTCATATTCGTTCTTGTCTTCAAAAATAGTTTGTGAGTATTCTTCTTTTATACCTCTAGAATTTATTTTGTTTGGTAAGAACTATTTGTTCAAAAATTCATATACTTCTATTATTTCTTAATCTTTCAAAGGTCTGATTTTCTTTATGGCATCAAGTGTACATTAATATATCTTGATTTTTTTTACCAAAACGTTTGAACAAGATCTTCATATGTCAGTATGTATTAAAACCTTATCCTATATAGTGGTCGCCTGATTCGCCTGAACATTTGGTGCCTCAGTGTCAGATTGAAGATTTTCCTAGTCTCACAATCTGCAAGTACCATTTGGCAAAGTTCTTGGCAGTCATTTACACAATAAAATGCATTAAGTTAACAGAGAGGGAAAAGCACCTGATTCTACCTACCAACTCCCATATTGATTGCCATGTACTGATATTTCAGTTGAAGGAGGTTCAGTATACTGATCATATCATATACACTTATGTCTACAAGATTATCAATCATATCTGCCTTTTCATTGACCACCTGGACAGTTTCAGAGAGTCCATTATATACTCAGACAGAGAGACAAGATGCTCCATGATTTCTGAAAGAACAAAGAAGTATACTTCTGGTTATATACTGATCTAAAATCTAATAATTTGTTATTCATCATTCTGGAACTACAAATACATGTTGCTGCTGGACTTAAAAGATTTCAAATTCTTTTGCAGATTGAAGAATATATTAATTTTAAATAAAGGTAAGTTTATGAAAGAAACCTAATATTTTTAAATTGCATCTAAATGGTTTGCTTCAGGACCACTTGACCCTGCCACACTTAGCTTCCTCAAATGGAAGCGTGCATGCAGCTTCACTACAGAATGTGATTTCATGTACTCCAAATAGTTTCCTGGTGTTGTATTAGGTCTGCTCCAAAAAGTTTGCTGCCTAAAGTACAGTTTTTGAAGAAATTAACAGTGTTCTAAGAATGGCGGCACTGACAAGTGAATGAGGAGAGAAGTTATAAATTGTTCAAAACTTGAACATACTCACTTTCATCATTGTTGGAAGAACAAATATGAATGTGAAGTACAGCTTTTGGACACGACCTGAATATCTTAAAACATGATCATACAGCTTCCCCCATTTAGAAAAAATGGTACTAGTTGAGAGCATTTCCAAAACTTTTCTTCTCCCCTTCTATGCCGAAGCATTTCGGCACCCTTTTCCCTCTTTCTTTATGTGTTACTAGAATTGTCATGAGTAGCTATATTGTGTGAATTTCGAGAATTGACACTGCTAGTCATATTACGGGAAATTCGAGAGTTGGCAGAAGTAGGCATATTGTGGATATTTTTAGAATTGACACAGACAGTCATACTGTGAATGTATTCACAGTGCAGTAAGAATATGAAACAGAGAAATGAACTGTGTTTTACTGGGGATGACATGGTTGAACATTTTGGGCAGTGTCACGAAATGTCTTAAAAAAGAGACATAATCGTAACTCAGCCATTAATATATATTTGGTGCCATATAATTGTTGCAAGCCTTATCAACAATACATTAATTCTGAAATGGAAAGAACCAAATATGACAACCTGTTAAACTTACGGCTAAAGAGAGAAATACTAAAAGTGCTGTTTTAGTCAAGGACATTTTGTTCATATTTGTTTTTTATGAGGATACCAAATTTCCTTTCTGGAAGTAAAAGTGAACATTCTTCAGAGTGATGAGATGCTAGCAGGACATGTAAACATTATCAAGATATTTCCATTCATTAATTTATATATACTAGTTTGATTGTTATACATGATGCAGAAAGCAAAGCTATCCTTTTTTACTAAGTACAATCATTGTAGAATGCTCAATAATTTGTGTAGTACCTTCTTCTCCTGGAATATTTCACTTTCACCTGCTGAATCTGTATGGAAGAGGAAAGAAAATGAAAAGGAAATTTAGTATAACAAAAAAGGTGAAAATACAGATCATACAATGATAAGGCAAAAAAGAAAGATTCACAATGATCAATTCTGCAGGTGTCACAGATCTACTTGCTTCTGATTTTTCATATAGAACAATTAAAGCACAAAGGTGATTGAAAAGTAATAATAAAAATCTTACCCATGTTGGGGCAAGAAAGCTAGTCAACTACAAATATCACCTAGTTCAGTACAAACCAAGCTAAAACTCCAAATACTTGTACAGTTGTACCTCGCTCAGTTGATAGTGCTGGTTGAACTGATGCCATGGGTAGTTGCATTGAACATAGGGTTCTTGTTCGCTGCTGGTACCAGGTTAGTATGTTCAGAATCTTGACTATTCCGAGAGTATAGACTTTCTATAATCAGGAGAAGACCAAGTTGTTTGTGTACATTTATAACTAGTAAATTACAACAACATGGAGAGATGTTTGAGAATGAAAGAGGGTTTTAAGATATTGCAGATGTGGTTTATGGAACAAAGGATCTCAGTCTATGCCTGAATGATGGCCCTGGCAGATTAGCTAGCCCTTTTCCTCTGATTCTGTTATGGACAAATGTGAGAGTAATGTGAATAGATATGATGTATTTCATAATATTTCTAACAGTTAGCTAAAATGTTTCCACTTAGAGTTTTTGTTGCACAAGCTCACACAACAGCAGCAATTACAAAGTAACACTAGGTGATTAGAGCAACGTTTGAAAAGCTGTCCTTTCATTAGCATTTACAAAACTTACAGGAATAGTATTAATGCCAGAACTAATGATCAGATAAACAAGCATGTGGAAAAATGATCAATTGAAGTATAACTCAGACTGTTCATCGTTGTAACTTTATAAAGTCGAAATTGGGTGGAAACTGGAAAGTGGTGGCCTCCCAAAACAAAATCAATAGCACATATAGAATGACCAAAAAAGCATATAAAAATGGAATATAGAAGGTAAGCTCACTACTTAAAGTATCCCAATTAACTATAAAAATTTACAATACAATGCCATAAGAGTGAAAAAATAACTTCACAGCAGTGGCATTAATGCGTAGAGATGTGACCAAAAGATGTAGGAAAAGTTCAATTCATGAAAACAACACTTGTTTGTTGAGAGTGACAGTCACGCATACAAAAAAACCATACTAAGCTTCCTAAGCCAACTCATGTAAAAACTGGAAGGCTTGATTCTTGATGGTGAAAAACAAACTACATTAGTTGTCTTAATAGACTATAACACAACAACCCAATGCCCCATAATCCCACCCCACAAATAACCAGTTTCAATGCCCCTTAAATCTTTTCCTTGTCCTAGTCCAAAAAAACTTGATACCATGTTCATAGAAAACTAAAAAAAATCAGGTCACACCTAATCCTCACAAAAAATGTCAAAAGCCTATTACAAATATTCCAAGCAATTTCACACACATTCAAGGTTATCAAACTCAAGTCTAACATTAATAAACTTTTATTACACATGCAGTAACATACCCAAAACTAAGCAACACTGAAGTAATCAATTTTCTTCAAACCCAGTAATTAGTATATGTATAGCAGTAAATTAAGTTCTGAGATAGGTCACAACAACTTTGCTTCTAATTAACATCCAGAAACAACTACAAAAATGAATGAGCTTATGAACTGGACCACGATTAATCAAACAATAACCATTCATAGTGACCAAACCCTAAAAGGATGAAGCATATAAATTGCGAAAGGAGGAAGAGAAAAAAAATTTGGACCATTTCTCGATTTGTGCGTGTCATCCTTGCGCAGGGGCCATGCTAATCTTCTCTGTATCGTTCCAATTTTATCGGATGTCCCCGAAGGGACAAACCCTTTTGCACGTTTACACAATATAAACTCTAGCTTTTTCTTGAAATACACAATGTGGGACTTTGTCTCAAATGATAAAAAACGTAATAACTAATTTGTCTTGTTTTCCTCTACTTGTAAACCATGACCTTCCTCCCAGAAAAGTAATTGCTTTACATTAAATAAACTTCTTTTCATATCAAAAATATTTATTTTTTCAGCTGTGGCTTATGAGAATTAAATATGTATACACGTAAGTATTTTCTTTCTGGTCTTTTAAGTTCTCACTTTTAACCCATTTAAAACAGTTTTGACCTTTATTTTACTTTAACTTTATATTAGAGGTTAAGAAATGGTTGATATTTCTTCCCAATTACGAACGTATTACTATCAAATACCCAAGTCTTGTACATAAGGGATTCTCCAAGGGGACTATATATCAATTTATAAGAGTAGGAATAACCCTGTGTGAACAAAGGAGAAGTTCCATGAAGATAATTTCTATCACTCCTGATTTTGGGTACTAGAAAGCTCTCGATTATAAGGAAGTTGTCATTCTCAATTATTGATGCAAAAAATACATGATTAAAAATGCAATAATATACAAATTGGGTTAGTGGATGGTCTGTCACAACCAAAAGCATAAGGTAGAACCTCTATGATGAGTAATTCATAATGTGACCAAAGCAATGACATAAGCGCCAATGGTTTTAGAACATGACTAAAGGTATAACAATATAAAATGAGTGGTAGAATAAAAAAATGTAAGCTTGGGCACACTTAGTTAACAAGTTAAGTTTTTATTATAAGATGAAAACCAAAAGCTAATAAGCAATTGAATCAAATAGTTTGATAATATTAGCTAATAACTTAAAATTCACCTTCCTCTTTACATAGGGCCATAACATTATATTTATTTCTATAATAAATAAATGCAGTTTATGTGGTAGACCTTTTCTTCATAGAAACACAACACCAGATTGTGTCCGAATAATTTTCATTTGTTCATCCTAGGATTTGTGTGGCTGTCTCTAACAATGGGAGAAGAGGTTGTGGTATTGGACACAAGGGTAAGCATGTTTGGAATGAGGGTAAGAATTGCACTGGCTGAGAAAGGTGTCCAATATGAATACAAGGAACAAGATTTGCAGAACAAGAGCCAAATTCTTCTTCAAATGAACCCAATTCACAAGAAGATCCCAGTTCTTATTCATAATGGGAAACCCATCTGTGAATCCATCGTTATTGTTGAGTATATTGATGAGGTTTGGAATGATAAATCTCCATTGCTATCTTCTGATCCTTACCAAAGAGCTCAAGATAGGTTTTGGACTGATTTTATTGATAAAAAGGTAATATATTTTCTTCAATTGCTGATGAATTTTGAAAAATTCATGATTATGTAAGATTGGAAGATATCAATGCTAAGAGACAAGAGTTCAGAACTAAACATAGAAATATCTCTTATATAAACATATTTGAGTATGTTGTTTTAGTAATCTTGTTTTGTTAAAAGGATTTTTCAAAAAAATCCTGACTTTTAAGGCATAATTTCACAAATCAATTTCAGTAACTTGTGACTTATAGGTTAGAGTTTTTATGTTATTTATATTTATCAACTAACTAATCAATTATGTTTACCAAACAGTTTTCAATTGGATAAGTTAACTTATTGATCATAATTCATAAGCTTTTAGCTCCTGTTTAGTAGTGTCATTGAATATCACACTCATTACTTTGTAACTTCTTTTCTGAATAGTCCATATTATGCATATACCTCACATAGTTTGTACAAATATCTTTTCTGATGCTAATTCTGGTGCTGGGAAAAACTACAGGTGTATGATGATGGGAAAAGGATATGGACTAAAAAAGGGAATGAGATTGAGGTGGCAAAGAAGGACTTTATTAATACCTTAAAGCAATTGGAAGATAGGCTTGGAGACAAGCCTTACTTTGGTGGTGACACATTTGGGTTTGTTGATCTTGCTCTGATTCCCTACTACACCTGGTTTTATGCTTATGAGGTTATTGGAAACTTCAAAGTGGAAGCAGAATGTCCTAAATTCATTGCTTGGGCTGAAAGATGCAAACAAATAGAGACTGTGTCCAAATCTCTTGCTGATGAAAAGGTTGTCTATGACTTTGTTGTTGCATTGAGGAAGAGATTTGGATTGCAATAGAGATATAAGGAAGCCAGTTACTGGTGGATTATGGGTATAAGCAATAATGTATTGGACACTTGAGTGTGTCTGTGATAACTAGTTATTTGTTATCTACTGTTGTATGAGTTATTTGGACCTTTTCTATCTGAAGTTTTCAGCGATTAGTTCAATGATTCTACAACACAGGTTGATGGGATATTCTTAAATGATTAGCTGAAATAAATGAGTTTACTATCTAAACGCAGTTTGGTGATCGATAAAGAAATGATTCAATAGATGACATGATACGATATAAGCAGGATAAAGTACTATCTTGTCGAGTGCTAGTGCACCATAGAACCATTGCATTTATGTGATGTTGGTAATGATAATATGGTAGTTATGATAGTAGTGGTGTTCATGTGTGAGGATATGAGAAAAAGTGCAAAATGATAGTATTGGCCAATGTGATAGCCCTATTATATTCTATTGACTTGCCTAACTCTAAGTTATAATGGGATATAACAAGTTATTCTATCTTCATTCTCTTATCCTATTAATCAAATAAACTGTTTGTAATGTAGGTTTAAGGTATCATCAGTACATAGGGCAAATGTTACTGAAAATGAAATCAATTATCAATGGGTATTGATGTTCAATGACTATATAAAGATGTTGTTAGTTCATCTCTGTAACACAACTCATTAAACTATGAAACGACTTACACATACTATCCTTAGAATTATTGAATTTGTTATTCAGTTGAAGCAGTTTTTCATTAGAGAAGGTTTTTTATACTGTCAATGTATCATTCACCATTCATTTTTAATCATTATTAACTCTTAAATAAGAGTAATACAAATCAAAGATAGATGATATACTGACTGTACAAATCTTTATCATACAAATTTATACATGTTACACTTTTTTCATCATGTCTGTTCGAATTATGAAGTACTCATTATGTGGATCGTGGAATAATGTCTAGTATTGGAAATTATATATTTATTGCCTATAAAATGCATGCATAAATAGGCCTTGTGTTAGAAAGGAAGATGTTGAGAATTTTTAATTATGTGATGAAAAGTTTCATATAAGTAGTTATGAGTAATTTTAAGTATTTGTATGTATATGGATTTATATACCTAATATTTTAAGTCAAACTAGGTAATATCAAGTTCTCTTATAGTAGTTCTTATTTATTCTTTTGCTCATCATTTGGTGATTGGGCTTTTAAGCTTCCCAATCCTATCAAAAGAGATGTATAATCTCTTTTGTGGACAACTACTCTTTCATATACACAAATATTATTTTGGCAAGAAATTAGTTACATATGACCTTTCTTATGAACTTTTTCAAATAAGTGTAAAATAGGAAAGTGCATTATTTATATATGTTCGATTTCAGTCCATGAAAATATGTCATGATGAGACAAAGTAACAGTTGTTGACCTAAAATCGGAAAAATCCATCCTAAACACTATCGGGTCTTGACTGGTCAACCGAACAATCCAGAAAGATGTGTTGTTGGCAGGGCAAAGGTTACAATACATGAGATCATTCTTCATGCTCTTCTACTATGCCACCTACACATGATTGTCACACCGTCTAAACAACATAGACATCTGCCAACGGGCCGCATGCTACCTACATAATGCATCCTTTATGTCAGATGATAAGATATGCCTACAAAATTGTTGCACAACCTATTATATGTTATAAGTCAACTATCCACAAAACATGGACATACTAGAGCGGTCCAACAAAGTCATTTGGTTGGTCAGACCAACATCATCTACCATGAAATATTTCATATACTTCTCTACTATAAACAGGGGGTTTCTTCCACATAAGGAAGTTACTTACATTCTATCTCTTTAATATTATTCTCTTACTCTTACTCTTGTATTTAGCATTCTCATATTTCTCATATGCAATGTGGAAATTACCTCCCCAAGTGCTCCACGGTGAAGGAAGCTCATATGACACTAGAAAAGTCTTCATCACCTACCATACATCCAAATTTCACATTTCCAAGATCGAAGAACAATGGCTTGCACAATCTAAAAACACTAATTCATTAAAGAAAATCATTCCTGCACAATCTAAAAACACTAATTCATTAAATAAAAGCATTCTAACACTCCAAATTGTCATTTTAAGTAATATAGAACATAATCATTTCTCATTACTCACATTTATTGGTATCTTATGCAAAATTAATGTGTGGTTGTAAAAATAATTCGAAACTTGTATCTGTGAATGTAGTGTATTAAACTTGAGTTGTTTGACAAAACTAATTTTATAGCTAGTAGAAATTTGAAAAATAAATAGTTATTTATGTAGTTATTTATTAATTAAATAGTTATTAGTTGAGATAATTAAATACAAAAATAGTTTAAAATCAAAAAATTTAAACCTATATTGTTTATATTGGATATGCAATATTTTTTATTTATTTGATGGTGAGACAAAAAAATGGTATTTTTAGTTTGGAGTAACTAATATAATTATTTAAAGTTTTGAATGATAAAATTGGAAAACAAATTATTGGAATTTATTTTCACTTTCTAAACACTAGTTGGAGTTATTTTAACAGTGTTCCTCAATAGACACTGATTGTCTTCCTTAGCTCTAACACTAGCTCCCCTTTCTTTCCCCTTCACCTATAATTCCTCATTCTTTCTCTGTATCATCTTGTATTGTTTTATTGTTTATGAGATTTGTTCGGCCAATAACTCTTTTCGAATGGGCCTTTCAAATTATAATATTTTAGTTATCATCTAACAATTTATCTCATTGAAGATCCAAAAGTTTGTCTTAATCCTATCTTCTTTTTATTTCATGGAGGATCTCAAAAATTTATTTGTATCATAGTACTATCAAATGTATCATTTCATCCTTTGAACATTTGGTTATTCCTCCCAATAAATATCACTTTCATAGATTGAACATTTGACATTTTGATCATCCTCAGATCTAGTTGGACATTACACCAAT